AATCAACAATATATGTGTGTACGTGAACGCTAGTGTTAGCGTCAGTATTGTTACGTAAAACTGAAATTTCAAGAAATTCTCCCTACGCCTATAAATATAACTAACGCGACGCGCCAAAAAACAGTAGCTATTATTGGTGTGCTATAAACTTCTGAAGCTATAATTGTGATTAATGCTTATTAATCGGAAACTACAGATATATTGACCGGGAGCTTTTATAAACTTCGAACGATAGAAACTATTTAACTTCTGTGGATTCACACCGGACATTAGTACTTTTACGAAAACATTACCTAACGTCATCGATGGAAACTCGATCTGTAATCGGCGTGTGATCAGCGAGAACTACAGGGCTAGCTAGCTTCCAAATAGATGAATTATACCTACGTCAACTCGAAATGAACTCGCTCATCGTCAACCCTCGATAAGATAACAAGAAAGTTCGAAACTAGAAAGAAGACTTTGTATTGCTTGTTAGTTTGTGAAACTTTTGTATATAAATCATTGTTCGTAATAACTATTTATAATAACTGTTATTGTATATTGCATTGTTGTTTGTGTATTAAAACATATTTGTATTAAAAAATAAAACTGTGTATCGGTCTTGTTGGCAAATATCATAAATTGGAGATATCAGCAAATATTTAACTACTATATCTAAATTACAATTTAACTCAGTTTTAGGCTATTCAAAATTGCACTACATAACAATATATATATACAAATAGAAACACAAAGATATTTCACTTAACTGAGCAAAACTGTTTCTAAAAAAGCCTACCAATTCAAATATACCTATTCTAATCGCGATACGATTCATATGAAGTAGTGTTCTTAACGTTCCTGGAAAATTAAACCTTTTCCTAAACTAATAAACAGTCCTAACCTTTTCTGTTTTTGTCTCAGTAAGATAGAAAAATATATTATAACTGAATAAGTTGTATAAAATGGAAAAAAGTGCATTTCATAGACTTAAAGCCTAAGTAGGACTAGCTTATACAGGTGAGCACATAAAGGTAACAGATATTTCTAATAGAAGACATTTGAATGGCATATTCTGGGATAAATGGATGTTTCAAGGTTATACGCCGACAAAATACAGGTCGGTGTTGGAATCTGAAATGGTGGCCGTGGAGTTCCGCATGCCTAACCCAACCTTCAGGGAATGACGTCACCTGGAATCTGTGCCAACAATACATATTTTTTAAGTAAAACGAATTACCGAATTAATTCAGTGAAATAATAGCTGTGGTGAGTGGGTCATGCCTCAGTTCAACACACTTACGGGTGTCCAATTACAGGCAGTGTTCTTCATTTGTACACACAATGGATATTATTATAATTTCACTGAATAATTTAATTAGAGTTTATTTCAAATGTTGTTACTCTTTACTATGGATATTATTAACAGCATCCTTGTCTAAGAATTTAAATGTCTGCTTGTAATTACAAACAGAAACAGTAGAAATGTACTGCGTTGTATAAAAATATACAAAGTCATTGAATGTAGATTGAATACAATTTTGAAAGTACTTCCTAACAATTGCTTGCTTGTGTTTCTAGCGCAAAGTTTTGCAATGTCATCGAATTCTAGTTTTATAATCCCTCAAGCTTACCGCTTAAACACCGAGGGATGGGTGGGGGTACTACCTGTGAAAGAGAAACAGCGCGAAAAACAATTCTAACTGAACTGTGTAACTTCCCGTCGGCAATTTTGATATATATTTAGTTCTTATACGTCTAGATTTTGTTATAGAACTATTTATTTGAAAATCGTATCATGGCTTGTACTGAAAATTGTGTTGATTAATTTACGAACATAAAAGCTATTCTTGCGGCTACAATAAGTACTAGATAATATATATAGTTTACTTGCGTGTGTAGTAAGAATTTAAAAAATTCCCTGTTTCCAGTTTCAGAGGTTGAAAATGTTGAGAACATCTTTTTTATATGAAATAAGAATGCAAAGACTTGTCTTCAATTCAAAATGAAAGCTTCTAAAGCTGTAAACAAAACGACAGTTACTAAGCATTGATTGCTATAACTCTTTGTTTCTCCAACTCATGAAGATAGCTTATTTGATACGTGTTTGTATATTCAGGAATTTAAAGGAACATGAAAAGAGATGGAGCTATAATGGTAGATAACCTTCTACTTACAGTAAACCAGAAAAACAAAGTAAGTTAAGAGATAAAATAAATACAAAAAAAAAACTCAAGTAATGAGTCATTTGGAGGATGCTATAGCAAGGATAAAGAATTAAAAGATCCTTAGTGATGTAAATGGTTTTCAATACAAGCCACTACTAAGAAATAATTAATGTTGAAAAACCTTATTTGAGAAAAAAATTATTTATTATCTTACACTAATTTAACCATGTATTTTATATGTATGTTTAACTGTTCATTTCTTCATTGTTTTCTAAAGGTAATTTTAAGGGCATCAGAAAAAAGGGTTCACAATTAGATTTGAATTTATTTCACCATATTCAATTATTTCTCTTCATATATTAATTAGGTATTACTTTAAAGTCTGATATATAACAGAACTAGAACGACTCATACTTGGTAGCTAGTAGCAGTTCTTTTCTTCTGTACACTTCTGTTGGGTCACTGTGGTTTCTGCATAAATACTCTGCTACCTGGCGGGAGGGAAATTCGGTCTCGCATACATATCCGAAATCTCGTGCCAGATGGATTGCTTCACCTAAAATTTGAGAATGAAAAATTAAAATGATTAAAACAAACTGAAAATACAGAAAAATAATAATGACATTCACAAACAATAAATATAATCGCAATAAGCATTTAACCAAGTAATATATTTTTACTAAAACTATTCTCTGGATTACTTTATTCGTCACATTTTCTCATTAACACTTGCTAATAAACACGAATCTAGCACAGACACAAATTTAACCGCAAATTGGTTGGTGTCTTCCGTGATTTGTCATTTTCTCCTTAATATTATCAGGTTAGAACTAGGGGTGCTTATCTCATCATAGTAGTCGATACGATACAGAAGTTTTACCAAGGTTTGTTACAAAGTTTGACAGTCTTGTCTGTAATTTAATATCTATATTACTAGCATTGTATTATTTAAGTACTTCACACTTTACAGTGCTTTTTCAGGTTCTCAGGTTTGATCAACTAAATGGCAGCTGTCAAGAGAAGTAAAACAATATAAAAAAGTTAATATCTGTCTATCTATTTTGTTATTGTTAATTTGTTATGTTACTTTCCATGTAATGATTTTGATAAAAGATATGAAGACAACATGTAGTACTCATTACTCATCTTCCTTTATTAAATCATTAATTTTTAGCAAAAATATTTTTATAAATTTTGATTTTTTTTTTCTGTACAAAAGACTTATAATGTTTACTGAAAGCTTGCCAAATTTCGTGAAGATACATAAATCGTATCGTATCGCCACACCTTTAGTTAGAACTATAAAAAGGCGATCTTTACATCAATGTCTGACTAAACGTGTAATGAGTTTTGGATACGAAAGAACCGTTAACGGTGAAAACGCAAAGTCATTATAAAGGTGATATAAATAAGGCTAACCATTTCATAGCCTTGGAACTAAAATCGTATATTAATCGAATACAAAACAATATTAACAATAAAATTTATTATTTCAGTTTTTATTAAATGACCTGTTAGGGACTTTATATTCTCTAAAAATATATAATATTTAGTTAAAATGTACTTTTGTAAACCACTTTTTATTTTTATCCAACGAAAATTTATTGAATTAAAAAAACATTAATGTGGGAAGAAGTTTTTAAACTTGATTATTACAACCGCTGATGTACAAAAACCGAATTATTCATTTATGTATCTAACTGCACGCCGACTTTTATGTTTAAGAAAGCCCAGTTGCTTCACAAACTATCTCATGGATATTGTTTTTGTTCTGCTTCATAAACTCTTTTTGGACAGTGAAATATCCTAGATTGATAAATATATGATCTGCTATAAAGAACCATATTTAGGTCGTTTAGTTCATTACTTATGATAAATTATAGATTTGTAACGACAAAATCATAATGGAACAAATAGAACAAAATAAAAGCTTTGAGTGTATTGTAATCACATTGCTTAACATGGTACTGATATATACAAAATAAACATAGTCTCAGACCAGAATATTGGCATTTTTAAAGCGTTTGTTCTGGATAGCAGTTACAAAACTAAACGAGTTTCACTCGCGCCATGCAGTTGATAAAGAATTTCAGAGAAAGAATGTTTTTACTTTTTTGGTCAGGCAAATCTGTTCAGACTATAAAGAATAGGTTAAAGAATATTATTTGGTAATATGCTAAACATTTGGGGATCAAGTACTTGACCTCATTCGCAAGACTTAATGAAGTATTAGCACATACTTCAGTCATAAAAAAACTGAGCCCCACTAGCGTGTCCACTGGGGTGGCAGCATGTCCACATTGGAGACCTCTACACCCCGAAGCCCCCTCCCCAATTAGTTTTTTTAATTTTAGAATCCCCCTCCCCATCCACATGCTACTCCAATGACATGAACATGCTAACTTTGGCAGGGTAGTCGTAAGTCATATTAGATAACTTGAAACGAAAGAATATCTCTAATAAGATAAGACTTAAAATGGGTTTAAATGATAGTTCTCTAACCAGATAAGATCTAGGATGGGTTTAATGATAGTTTGAAACACCATCAGGCCGCCATGAAGCTGTGCAGAGAGAACCCGAGATACTTACGTTTTTTCATAATGGAAATAATAAATACATATTTCTTAAAGGCAAAATTTTTTATTTCTTTTGTATCTGATAACATTTTGACCCCTTTCTGATACGTCCATCTGCTTTCCCCTCCCACCAGATAAAAAAATCCTAGTAACGCCACTGGTAAGACCATCTCTGGACTGAAAATACGCCCTTAATGCAGTAACATACTTTTTGACATCATAACACATACAATCAAGAGATGTGGAAAGCGGGCCACTTCCACTGAATTATTAAAGATCTGTTTTAAAAAAATCATTGTTTTATTGTCAAATGCTGAGAATGAAATTCCCTTCC